TCTCTGGAGCCCAGCAGGTCGAGGCTGTGGTGGCCGGGAGCAGCCACTGCACTCCAGTCTGGGCGACAGGGTGAGACTCCAACTCAAAACAAAACAAAACAAAACAAAACAAAACAACAACAACAAAAAAAGGGTGGGTCCCCTGGCTTGAGTCTATGCTGGATGTACTACCTCCACCCTGCCCTCCATCAGCAGAGGCCATCAGATGTGTGCGTTTGGTCTCCCCGTCAAACACTCGGTAGCAACATCCTCAGTAATAGCAGCGACTGTTGGACTCTTACTAAGTGCCCAAGCAAGACCCATGAGGTTTCCACTGCAGCCCCGTGAGTGCCCCATTTTGCAGAGGACACTCACTGTGCACTTGCACCTGGGGTGGAGTCTGGCCTCCATTCTCTCATATTCAGCTCCTCATCTGCTCATACTGTCCCAGCTGTGGATTATGGAACCTGGCCTCACAGAGCAAACTCTGTCCCCTCTTGTCCTGTGTCTCCTTGGGTTTTCTGGAGCCCTCGTACTGTCCTGGCCAGATGTCTCGCTTCTCTAGTCATAGAGGAGGTCTGGACACCTGGTTAGGTCATCTGACTTGCCTCTGTGGTTTTGATTAGACAATACCAAAGGGGGCGTAACATTCCCTCATCTTCCACAAGGAGCTAAAACTCAGTCTTCCTTCTGTTGAGATGGCCTAAAAAATTCACTTCCTGTGTTCCCAGCCTGGACCAGCTGTCACTGTCCCCACAGTCACTCACTCACCGTGCAGAAGGTCCTTCCGCTCTCAAGAATTGGCCGGTACCCAGTGCAGCGGCATAGATTCCCTAATGGGAAAAGAGGCATGGTGGTCAGCTGGCTTTGTTTATTGGCTTCTTGGAAAAGTTGAAATAGACCTAGCCGTTTTATTTATTTATTTATTTGAGTTGGAGTCTCACTCTGTCACCCAGGCTGGAGTGCAGTGCATGCTCATGCCACCCCGACGTTGATCTGCTGGACTCTGGTGATCCTTCCGTCTCAGCCTTCCAAGTAGCCAGACTACAAGTGCAAGCTACCATGCCTAGCTAATTTTTGATTTATTGTAGAGACAAGGTCTTGCCAAGTTGCCAGGCTGTTCTCGAACCTGTGGGCTCAAGCAATCCTCCTGCTTCAGCCTCCCAGAGTGCTGGGATGATAGGCGTAAGCCACCGTGGTGGCCCCAGCTTTTTTTTTTTATGTTTTAGTGTCTGCCAAGCTATCTAATGCCTTTCTTCTCCTTAGAATTTTATCCTTCCTACCACCTCAATTCCAGTTTTGTTCTTTGTCCTAAAGATCACAGTCTAGTTATTAATTTGTTCATTCGATGTGTATCTATTAACAACTGTATTTCAGACACTAGGTAAGATGGCAGGACCCTCCAACAGAAAATACTGGAAATTTCCAAGGTACTGGATGTGTGTCATGCCTTGGACAGTTTGTCAATGGTACTACCTAGTGTTTGTAGGATCTTCTGGGGGAATTGGTTAAGAATGTAGATTCTTGCTCCAGTTCTCCTGACTCAGACATCTGGGAGTGGGCCCAGGAATCTGCATCTTAGTGGTTTGCAAGCAATTCTATTGCATAGCAAATTATGAGAGCATCAGATTTCCAAAAATGAAAGCCTGGAGGCAGGGATTGTGGAGGGTCATCATGGAACAGGCTTCATCTGAAAGGGCTTCTCAAGGAAGCCTGGCTTGCAGGGTGAGCATGCTGTGTGTTGGAGCGCCTCCTGGGTCCTTAGAGTAGCATGGGCAGGTGCTGAGGGGACACGTGCAGAGGACTTGGGCAGAGAGGAGACTGGCTACAGCAAGCCATGCAGAGGGAGCTGGGTCGGTGGTGGCATATCTCTGACACTTGGTTGGGAGGTCTGCTCTGCTGTGCTTTAGGCACAAGGGCCTGCTGGGGACCTCTGACAGGAGAAAGACTGAAGGAGGGTGTGGTTCTAGATGACTTAATCTGATTTCTGTACTGGAGGAAAGAGAGAGAGAGATGGAAGGAGAGAGGGAAGGAGGGGAAAGAGAGAGGAAGGAAAAGAGAGAGGGAGGAAGGGAAGGAGGGAGGGAGAGAGGAAGGGAGGGAGAGAGGAAGGGAGGGAGAGAGGAAGGGAGGGAGAGAGAAAGGGAGGGAGAGAGGAAGGGAGGGAGAGAGGAAGGGAGGGAGAGAGGAAGGGAGGGAGGGAGAGCAAAAGAAAGGGAAAGAGAGAGGGAGGGAGGGAGAAAGAGAGAAGGAAAGAGAGAGGGAGGGAGAGAAGGAGGGAGGAAGAGAGAAGGAGGAAGGAAGGGAGGGATAGAGAAGAAGGGAGGGAAAGAGGGAGAGAGGAAAAGAGAAGAAAAAAGAGAGGGAGGGAGAAGAGGGTGGGAGGAAGAGAGAGAAAAAGAAAGAGAGAGAGAAAGAGAGGGAGTATGAGAAGGAGTGAGAGAGAAAGAGAGAGGGAGGGAAGGAGAGAGAGAGGGGGAGGCAGGGAAGGAGGGAGGGAAGGAGAGAAAGGGAAGGGGAGAAAGAGGGAAGGAGAAGACAGAAAGAGAATAAGAAAGAGGGATGGTGGGAGAGAGAAAGAAAGAGAGTGAGGGAGGGAGGTAGGGAGAGAGAGAGAGAGGGAGAGAGAGGGAAGAAAGGGAGAGAGAAAAAGAGTGGAAGGGAGGGAAGTGGGGAGGCCGGGAGGGAGGGAGGGAGAGAGAGAGAGTGAGTCAAACAAGTCCACCAGTAGCTGGCAGACCAGCAGGTGGTGCCAGGTGGTGGCACAGTGTCTGTGCTCCCCTTCCATGCTCAGTCTAAGAATTTGTGGGTCTGTCAATGACTTGTCAAATTACTGACAGCTGATTCGGCAGAAGGGATATGTCTATGGACTCCTCTTCAGTAACTCAAACGCATTGCACATTTTGAAGGATTCTTTCAGTTTGGGAAGGGCCCTGTTATGGGTTGGTCTGTGTCCCCAAAAGGCTATGTTGGAGTCCCAACCCATGGAACCTATGAACATTACCTATTTGGAAGCATATGGATTCAGGTTAGGATCAAGTGACATGGGATTAAGGCAGGCCCAATCCGATGGCGGGCGTCCTTGTAAGAGGGGGATTTGGATGATGTCTGCTGACGCATGGCACCCAGGGGAGAAGGCCACGTGACAGGGGAAGTGAAGATTGGGGTGATGCATCTACAGGCCCAGAAATGCTGCGGCCTCCTGGCAGCCAGAAGCTGGGACACTGGGAGAGGAAAGACCCTCATTCAGGGCCTTTGGAGAGAGCAGGACCCTGCTGACACCTCACGTCAGACTGAAATGTCCCGGAACCAAGTACATTTCTATTGTGTTTAGCCAGCCAGTTTGTGATGCTTTGTTAGGAAGCTAACACAGACCCCTAACAAAGGCAGCCAAACAAGTCACTGGATAGGTATGGGGGATCGAGCAGGTCGTGTGGCCCATGTGCAGTGTCTAGCTCTGCACAGGCTGCTCCAAGCACATGCTCTGATGTGCAGGGAGCAGTTTGATGTTCTTTTCTGCTCCTGGGTGCTGTAGCTATTATTTTTAGGGGGAAGGGATTGGGGTCTCACTCTATTGTCAAGGCTGGAAGGCATTAGCACAATCACAGCTCACCACAGCCTCAACCTCCTGGGTTCAGGTGATCCTTCTGCCTCAGCCTCCCAAGTAGCTAGAACTAGGGCTACAGGTGTATGCCACCAGGCCTGGCTAGTTTTTAACTTTTCTGTAGAGACGAGGTCTCACTCTGCTGTTCAGGCTGGTCTCGAACTCTTGGGCCCAAGCAGTCCTCCCACCTCTGCTTCCCTCTGCAGGTGTGAGCCACCATGCTCAGCTAACTTTATTTAAAGAAAAAAATTTTTTTTAAAGAGATGGGGTTTTGCTATGTTGCCCAGACTGGTCTCAAACTTCTGGCCTCAAACAGTCCTTCTACCTCAGCCTCCCACAGTGCTGGGATTGCAAGCATGAGCCACTGCATCCAGCCTGTAGCTACTTTATTTTTTTTATTTTTATTTTTTGAGTTGGAGTCTCACTCTGTCGCCCAGACTGGAGTGCAGTGGCCGTTCCTGGCCACCGCAGCCTCTACCTGCTGGGCTCTGGCAATCCTTCCTCCTCAGCCTTCCGAGTAGCCAGAATTACAGGCATGTGCTACCACGCCTGGCTGATTTTTTGATTTATTGTAGAGATGAGGTCTCGCTGCCCAGGCGGGTCTCAAACCTGTGGGCTCAGGCAATCCACTCACCTCAACCTCCCAAAAGCGTGGGATTACGGGCTGAGCCACCGAGCCCGGCTCTGTAGCTACTTTAGAAGCCACTGAAACAGGAGGCTGAGCAGGGCTGGAGAGACATTGAAGGTGGTGTAGGGTGGCCAGAAATGTACTTCCCACCTGCCTCGGGTGGGAGACGAGATTTCACCATGTCAGACTCACCCCCCAGGGCTTCCATGAGCTGCTCCTCAGAGGGCTGCGGATGGTTTCTGAGCAGTGTGTACATGGACATCACCATCCCAGGGGTGCAGAACCCACACTGGGTGCCGTGGCTCTTGGCGATCCGCTCCTGGGAAGACACATGCACATCATGGTCCTGCCTTCCTGTGGCTGCCAACTTGAGCCACCCTTCGCAGCCTGCAGCTGCCTTGATATGCTGGGATCCATGGGCATGTGGACCCTGTTCCTTTGGCCAGAGCCTGCCAGTGTCCCTTCTCTTAGGCTACTCCTAGAGAAAGTGACTCAGGAGCCATATTCTATAATTACTGTCCCTCCTAAGGTCAAGGGCTCAGACCCTTCCAACAGAATTAGCAGTGTGTCGCTGCCTCTCCTGCAATGAGCATTCTCCAGAGAGCAATAAGTCTGAGGAGAGTGTAAGTTTCAAAATGGCTCTTTCTTTTCCTTCCCTCCCACCCCCACTTCCTTCTTTCATTCTTTTTTTGAGTCAGAGTCTCACTCTGTTGCCCAGGCAGAAGTTGTGGCATGATCACAGCCATGGCAGCCTCAATCTGTGGGCTCAGACGATCCTTCCACCTCAGCTTTCCAAGTAGCTGGAACTACAGGTGCGTACTACCATGCCTGGTCAATTTCCTGATTTATTGTAGGGACAAGGTTTCATCAAGTTGCCCAGGCTGCTCTTGAATGCATGGGCTCAGGCAATCCTTTTGCCTCTGCCTTTCCAAGTGTTGGAATTACAGGCATGAGCCACTGTGTCTGGCCAAAATTGTTTTCTCGAACACTTCTACCCCTTGTGTAGCTTAGTTCCGACAATGAGGTCATCTCTTCCTGATGAACTTGGAGACCAGCTTCTGTGGCTCTAACTTTGCTTTCTTCCTTCAGTTCTTCTGCATTGGCTCAAAGGGAGCTCTACTTTCAAAGGTCTGTGTCCTGGATCTCTGTTGCAGGATTTGGGTCTGTGTCCTGGATCTCTGTTGCTGTTTAAAGTGCATTCCGGTGGCTCAGCCTGTAATCCCGCATCTTTGGAAGGCTGAGGTGAGTGGATTGCCTGAGCCTGTGGGTTCGAGAACTGCCTGGGCAGCGAGACCTCATCTCTGCAATAAATCAAAAAATCAGCCGGGCATGGTAGCGCATGCCTGTAATTCCGGCTACTTGGAAGGCTGAGGTGGAAGGATCGCCGGAGCCCAGCAGGTCGAGGCTGTGGTGGCCGGGAGCAGCCACTGCACTCCAGTCTGGGCGACAGAGTGAGACTCCAACTCAAAAAAATAAAAATAAAAATAAAAATAAAAATAAAGCACATTCCATGGACTAGCAGTGTTGTTCCACCAGGAGCTTGTAGGAAATGTAAAACCTGAGCTCTGCTCCACACATCTCAGATCCAGACTGTGTCTTTTTTTGAGAGAATGTCTCACTTTGGTGCCCAGGCTGAAGTGTACTGGCATGATCCTGCCTCACTGCAGCCTGGATGTCCTGGTCTCAAGAGATCGTCCCTCCTCAGCCTTCTGAGTAGCTGGGATTACAGGCACATGCCACCATGCCCAGCTCATTTATATATTTTTTGTAGAGAAGGGAGGCTCACCATGTTGCGCAGGCTGGTCTTGAACTCCTGACCTTAAGCAATCCTTCTGCCTCGGCCTCCCAAAGTTCTGAGACTACAAGCGTGAGCCACTGCCCCTGGCCTGAATCTATGTCTTTAACAAACCTTCCTGGTGATTCTTAGGTATGTTACTGTTTGGAAGCCCTGGTCCAGATTTCACTGTCATGTAATCCTGGGATCTGGGTTTATGACTCTTGCTGTAAGCATCCTCTCTGCGTTCCTTCTAGGCTCCAGTAAGCTCTGCTGGATCCTTCACCTCTGCTGACCCCTTTGCAGTTGGTTCTCACATGGCTAACTCACAGGCCCTCTTGGCTCCTCCTGCCTAGAAGGACTCAGTATTGGTCTGTCTGGTCCGGTGATCCCCTAACAATGACAGAGGAATTATGTGTTCTCTGCCAATGCATGCCACACTACTCTTAAATTCAACCTCTTTGTTCCAGTTTCAGGTTAAGATTTGGAGAAATGATTGATCTCATGCTTTGGTGGAGTTGATTTTAGACTCATCTCACCTGATCCTGATCATCCTCCCAAGATCTCTGTGCCACAGGTAATAATACTACCTTTCATCCTATTAGTCTCAGAGACAGTTTATTCTACGTGCAATATTCTTAGTGCAATATCTATTCCAGATCATAGTCCAATAGGCATCAGTCAATATTTTGATAATTCTGTTTATCATACAAGTGGAAAAAGGAAGGATGACCATCTGAGTTCCAGCTTTTTTTTTTTTTTTTTTAAAGTCAGGGTCTCACTCTGTTGCCCAGGCTGGAGAGCAGTGGCATGCTCAGGGCTGGAGTGCAGTGGCATGTTCAGGGCTCACCACAGTCTCAACCTCCTGGGCTCAGGTGCTTCTACCTCAGCCTCCCAAGTAGCTGGAACTATTTATTGTAGAGACAAGATCTCGCCAGGTTGCCTGGGCTGTTCTCGAATCCTCGGGCTCAGTCAATCTACTCGCCTCAGCCTTCCAAAGTGCTGGGATTACAGGCTGAGCCACCGAGCCCGGCCTTGATATTTTGTAGAGACAAGGTCTTACTGCGTTGTTCAGGCTGGCCTCAAACTCCTGGGCTCAAGCGATTCTCCCACCTCGGCCTCCCAAAGTGCTGAGATTACAAGTATGAGACACTGCACCTGGCTCATTCAAAGTTTCTACATACCTGACCACAGCCTAGAAGCCTCAAGCAGTGCAGTCAACACAGTATTTGGTAAAAAAATAAAGTTCCGAAGAGAGAAAATTAGGATGTACTCTTACCTGCACAGGGTGAATCCTAGTTTTGATGCTTCCAACGCCTTCCACAGTGGTGACAGCAGCACCATGCAGAGAGCAGATGGGCACCAGGCACGCGGTGACGGAGAAGTGTCTTTGCATGAGAAACACAAGGGACATCAAGGGGAGAAACACAGTCCTGCCTCATGGGAAACTCCCAAGGCTATCGTTCAACCTGGGGATTGGGGGGCTGGAGAGGTGAGGAGGAGGAAGCATCGAGTGGTCTGCTGACTCTATTGGCAGAAATTAGGAGTCCTGAAGGATGAATCTGGGCATTCTGAACTTCAGAAAAACTTCCAAGCCAAGACCCACCTGGCAGCCAAGGGAATGGACTTGTGTTACTAAGAGTGTGGTTGGACTTCAATGAGTATTCATTGGGATATTGGCTTCATCATAAGCAAAGGTACGCCTATATCTCTTTAACCTATATGTGCACATTTAGGATTTTTTTTTTGAGTCAGGATCTCACTCACTCACCCAGGCTGGAGTGCAGTGCATGATCACAGCTCGCTATAACTTCCAACTCCTGGGCTCAAGTGATCCTCCTTCCTCAGCCTACCAAGTAGCTAAGACTACATGTGCATGCTACCACACTCAGTTAATTTTTTTTTTTTTTGTAGAGACAAGGTCTTGCTATGTTGCCTAGGCTGGTCTTGAACTCCTGGCCTCAAGTAATCTTCCTGCCTCAACTTCTCAAAGTACTGGGATTACAGGTGTGAACCACTGTACCTGGTCACATTTGGGAATTTTTTTGCTTGCCAATTAAAAATTCTCTGGATAAGGTCATTCAACAGTGTTGGATGGCCAGTTCTGAAGCCTTCTCTTGATTTGTTGGGCTAGTGGATTTGGGAGAATCCCAAGTTCTAGAATCTGGTCCTTCATTAAAGGGTGAAATATCGGCCCAGGTCCTTGCCCTGCAGGGTCGGTTCAGACCAACAGTAGAAAGAGCATTTGTAGCAGGGCCAGAAAATGTGGGTTCAAGTCCTCGTTCTGTAGCTTACTGGTTGTGTGACCTTGGATGAGTCACTTCATATCTTTGAGACTCAGTTTCTTCATCTGTAAAATGCATGGTTGACCTAAGCTAGGGGTTCTCAGCCCAGGGTGCATAGATGGGTCTTGGGGGATCCAAGATTTCTCTGAAATGGTATGAAAAAAGTAAATGTAATGGTTGTATGTGTTGTTGGAGTAGATACTAGCAGCTTTCATTGGCTTTTTCAGAGGAGTCTAAAATCCAGAGACAGCAGGAATCTAAGACTTTTTCTTAGGTATGTGGTAAGAATACAAGCTTGCAAAGGAGGACCATCCTCCTCTGGCTTTGGGCTTTGGGGCGGGTACCTTATCTTCCTGGACACGGGGTCGTACGTGGACACCATCACCGTGCAGGCACCGCAGCCTCCTGTTCCACAGGCATACTTGGTTCCTGTGAGACACACTGCAAGGGGGCAGTCAAGGAGAACACACCAAACCACACGTCTGCCTCCAGTACAGCTGCCTCTCTGGGTGTCACCAGTGAGGAGGGTCTTGGTGGGGTGAGGGCCAGGTCTGAGAAGCTATTTGCCTGCCTCCAGGTTTTAGGAAAGGCTGCTCCCTACGAACTGTGTGACACTGGGCATACTAGCCTTCCCTTCCTATTTTTTCACTTGCAAGAAGTCATACTTGCTTCATCTTCACAGGTTTACTCTAAGCATCTTGTAGGATAATGGCCATAAGAGCCTTTTGAAAAATCCTATTTTACTTATATTATTTTTTCTAGAGTGCAGTGGTGTGACCATAGCTCACTGCAGCCTCAAACTCCACTCCTGGGCTTGAGCAATCCTCCTGCTTCGGCCTCCCTAAGTGCTGGGATTATAGATGTGAGGCACTGAGTCTGGCTGAAAAATCCTATTTTATCATAGGATATTCTTACATGTCTTCTTCCGGCTTCCAATCATGTAATTGAGAGAGAAGAACATTATTTTTAGCAGCTCAATGTATTACTAGATTTTGTCCATTAATTTGTGCTGCGTTTGAAAGCAAGTTGGTGAGTCTTTGGCGGAATCCCTTGTCCGTATTTTCAGATTCCATCTTGAGTGTCCCTCTGCTCTGGCTTGGTCCAGGTCTAGTCCCAGGCTCAGCCCTGGCCCTTTTCTCTTCACCCTTTTCCTTTACTGTAGTTTATTTCCACTTAATTTTTCAGATTGGATGTCATTCACTAAACTGGCTAAAAAAATTATTAATATTATTTTTTAAACCCTTGTTCATCTAAATTAAGACAAAACCCCAGATGCTTATCAGAGAGGTGATGTAATTAATCGAGTGGGCTGGGTGTGACTGGAGAGCTCCATTTCCATTTTAGAGAAGGGTCTAGGAACTGCCTCTGCCCAGTTGTAAGCAAGGCTATCACCATGCAGGAATGGCTACCTTTCTATTCTTCCAGAGAAGCTGGAAAATCTAGATTTTAAAAAATAAGAAATTTTCAAATTTGCAAACATTGACACCTAATTAAAAACAATGTAGACTTTATGGCTGAGGCAGAAGAATCACCTGAGCTCAGGAAATTGAGGCTGCAGTAAACTGTGATTATGCCACTGTACTCCAGCCTGGGCAATAGAGTGAGTCTCTGACTCAAAAACAAAACACAACAAAAACAAAAAACCAAAAAACCCCCAAACCAAAGCAAAACGAAAATCACGTAGCCTTTTAAACAAAAATTATCCAGAGGCTGATTTCAGCAATTTGTAATTTATGTCATTTATTTTATTTTTTGGCTTCTCTGAGAGATCCATCAGATTCACCAATTAAAATACGTTTGCTATGATAAAGATCTAATTTCAGAATATAAAATGGTGGGAAAATCCAGGGTAAGAAAATAGCTGCAGGGAAAGGAAATCTTTTCCTTGGGTTCATGGTTTCCCTGAGTGTGGGGAATTTGCTTTCCTAAAGGGCGGGGCACATGTAACACAAGCCTCTGTTATGGAACCACCTGGCAGGGACTGGAACACCATAAGGGAAACTTAGGCCTGCAGTAAGAAGCTTAGCTTCCATTTCATTGCTATTAGCAGATATGAGACACCCCAGGAAACCCATCCCCTCCCAATAGCCCGATTAACCTCACCCCCCACAGCACAGCCCAGAGCAGGCAGAGACGGGCCAAGAGGGCTGATTGATTTTTTTCATAATCATGGCTGAGCTAGGTTTTAGGGCTAGCACGGCCTGGGTCAGAACTTTGGTAAAAGGGTCCAGTTCTTTCGCAGGAAGGTCAGCAGAGTACCTTCTGGGTCCATGTTCCTCTCCACCACCTGTGTTGGAAACAGGAGAGATGACCGTGGGGATTGATTCTGGGACCCGTGGAACGTCTGTTGCAGGCTGTTTGATTTGGGGATGGGTGTCGCAGGCCTGATGGCGTCTGCACCTGTTTTTTGTACTCTGAGGACAGACGACCTTCACACACATTTACGAGGCAGGATACTCACAGAGCAAGTATGGTGTCAGTGCTCTTCACTCGATAAGATCTGGGGCCACTGCTGGGTAAAGGGGCCTGAGGGGCATGTTCTCATACTTGCTCCACTCCCTATTTTTCTAGAGTCTTCTAGTTCAGCCTTTCCTTCTCTTAAAATATTTCAAATCTTGGCCGGGCACACTGGCTCATGTCTATAATCCCAGCACTTTGAGAGGCCAAGGTGAAAGGATTGCCCGAGCCCGCGGGTTCAGGAAAGGACCAGCCCAAGCAACTTGGCGAGACCTCATCTCTACAATAAATAAAAAAATTAGCTGGGCATAGTGGCTCATGCCTGTAGTTTCAGCTACTTGGAAGGCTGAGGCAGAAGGATCGCTGGAACCCAGCAGGTTGAGACTGCAGTGGCTGTGAGCATGCCACTGCACTCCAGCCTGGGAGACAGAGTGAGACTCTGACTCAAAAAAAAAAAAAAAATTTCAAGTCTGGGAGAGACTTGGATTGTGTGTGTATGCGCATGTGTGTGTGTATGCCTGTGCATGTGTGTATGTGTGTATATGTGCATGCATGTATGTGCTTATGTAGGTGCCATGTGTATGCATGTGTGTGTTTATGTCTGTATATGTGTGTATGTGTGCATATGTGTATAAGGGTCTGTGTATATGTGTGTATATATGCATGCATATGTGTATATATGTGCCTGTATGTGTGTATGCGGGTGTATATGTGTATATGTGTGTGCATGTGTGTACCTGTGTATGCATGTGTATGTGTGCGCATGTATGTGCTTGTATAGGTGTTGTGTGTGTGTGCATGCATGTGCACATGTGTATGCATGCATATGTGTATGCATATATATGTCTGTGTGCATGTGTGCGTATATGTGTGTCTGTGTGTATGCATGTGTACGTGTATATATGTGTCTGTGTATATGTGTATGTGTGTCTATATGTGTGTATGTGTATATGCCTGTGTATCTGCATATGCATGCATGCATGTACGTGTGTGCATGTGTATTTATGTGTATGGGTGTATATGTGTCTGTGTATGGGTGTATGTGTGTATCTATGTGTGTGTGCTGGGAAGGATCCTTGGGGAGGAAACTGGGGTGGGCAGAGTGTGTGGCACCTCTGAGTCCCCTTGGTATCACAGGCCTTAAGAGCTGGGGCCAGAGCAGAGGTGGGGAGAGCTGTGTTATGCTGGTGAGGCCCTGGGGCCTGCCAGTCCCCCTAAGAACCAAGGACCTGATGGGAACCCTCATGTCCCATGTCAAGCCCAGGTGGCTCTGGTGGGACACTAGTCCTTCCATCCCTTTGAAAAGTGGGGACTTCACACTCAAAAGCCACCAGGAACTGTCTTTGGTGCCTCTTTCGCATTTGCTTATTTTGGGACGTTTCCTCTGACCTTGTCTTGGGCTGTCCTAAAGAATGCCAGTCATTCTAGAATACTAGAAGAAGGAGAGACAGGGGGCTAGCCACAGTAAGGTCTTCTTTCTCCCCAGAAGTAAGACAAACTTTCATAGACCTCAAAGAATAAAAAATGACAGGAAGTGCCTTCCAAGCTGAGATGTTACAATTCAGTTCTTCGCTGGATCTCAGGGGACTCCTCATCAATGACAGAAGGGGCCTCCTCTGCCTGCCTTTCAACACACTTTTACATTCAAACATCTTTTTCTTTTATTTAGAAACAGTGTCTCATTCTGTTGCCCAGGCTGGAGTGCAGTAGTGCAATCATAGCTTTCTGCAGCCTCAATCTCCTGGGCTCCAGTGATCCTACTGCCTCAGCCTTCTGAGTACCTGGTACTACAGGCGCGAACACCACGCCTGACGAACTTTTTATTTTTTGTAGAGATGGGGTCTTGCTCTATCGCACAAGCTGGTTTCAAACTCCTGGCCTCAAGTGATCCCCCTCTTCAGCCTCCCATTTAGCTGGGACTGCAGGTGTGCACCATGCCTGGCTAATTTTTATTTTGTGGGAATGGGGTCTTGCTATGGTGCCCAGGCTGGTCTTGAACTTCTGGCCTCAAGTGATCCTCCTGACTCAGCCTCCCAGTGGAGCCACTGCCCCTAGCCTCCTTTAAACACATTGATTGAGAATGGGATTGAAGAACATTTTTTCTTATCTGACTGAATCCGGCCTGCATTCCCATACACTTGTACTTCTTCGAACCCTGGATCCCCTCCCTGCTCTGGCTGCAGCTGCTTCACTCTGGGTCCATGACTAGGAAGAGATGTTGCATGGAAAGAAGAGGAAGATGCCGCCTCTGGCTTTTGGGCCTCCAAAGCCCAGGCCAGGGGAATAAGCAAGTCAGGACTCAGCTCACAAATGACAGTTTTGGATGAACATGTTGCTGGTTGTGGAGACGATACAGGTGAGAGGGACAGAGAAAAATGATGAGCCCTTAGGAACCCTTCGATCTGTCTTCTTCCCTGGACCAGGCCCTGGGGCGGGGGTGGACATGAGCAAACCCGGTTAGGTTTGTGGAATCAGAGGTCAAGGGGTCCCTTGGGGAAGAGGTAGTGAGACCCCAGAGATGCCACATGCCCTAGCAACTATGGACTAGCTCCCTTGAGAGGCGGGTAGATACTCAGGAGGGGAAGGGCCCTCAGGGGGACTGAGGGTTGCCTAGTGGCCTGTGGGGGTTGATGGTGAGGATGGGAGGAGGATGCAGGAGAGTCCTTCCTTGTCATACAGGGGGTGACCCCAAAAACCCAGAATGATCTTTTGGAGTATGGGCCCCTTGTAGTACAGGTTTTCCCTCTAGGTAAGTGTTCTAGGAGCCCATCTGCATCCATGTACCAGCTAGTGATGTTATGAGAGGCTGTGTTCGGCTTCAGTGAATTTTTGGGGGGGAGATTCTTTCAACACGGTTGCCCGCCCATGTCATGATGGGTGACTTACAAGTGCACCTGCCCACACCATGCAGAGTGTTCAGCAGTTTTTGACCCCAAGTGGCATGACCCCAATGCCCCACTCTCCCTATTCACCTGATCTCACCCAAAGCAACTTTTTTTTTTGTTTCCCCAGAGGACAAAAGTCCTCAAAGGGAAAGGTTTTGCCAATGTCAAAGAGGTGAAACAAAAAACAGCAGAAGCACTCAAAAGGCTTCCAAATTGAGTTAAAAAACTCTTGTGAGCAGTGAAAAAAGCATCTTGATAGGTGTATTGCCTCAGGTGAAGAGTACTTTGAAGGTGACTGAAGTTTAAGCATGTAAAAATAAATATATAATTTTTTTTTTTGAGTTGGAGTCTCACTCTGTCACCCAGGCTGGAGTGCAGTGGCACACTCACAGCCACTGCTGCCCCAACCTGCTGGGCTCAGGTGATCCTTCTGCCTCAGCCTTCCACATAGCTGGAACTACTGGTATGCACCAACCATGCCTGGCTAATTTTTTGATGCGTTGTAGAGACGAGGTCTCGCCAAGTTGGCCAGGCTGGCTTTGAATCCATGGGCACAGGCAATCCTCTCACCTCGGCCTCCCAAAGTGCTAGGATTATAGGTGCAAGCCACCACGCCTGGCCAAAATACACAATTTTAAATAAATAAATTCCAAGTTTTGGGGTCCCCCCTCATATGGGCTCCAGGAAACTTGGCTACACCTGGGAAGGCGGGGCCTCTAGCAGACTATGTCACCAATTCAACCAATTCTGCACAGTAGGAATTCAACAGAAGAATGAGGCTGATACATAGAAAACTTTAAAACAAAGCTCCATTTCTTGTCCTGAATTTGAGGTTCAAATTCCATTACCAACAAAAGACTTCTGTGTATCAGGCCCAGCACCAAGCCTTTGGGAAACATCGAGGGGTCCTAATCAGTGAAAGAAACAGCTTTTCTTTTCATCTTCACATTGACCCTGGAAGTGGACTCCAGAGAGAGGACCCTGAGCCTCGGAGAGGGGAAATGACTTGCGCAGGTCACATGGATTTGCTGGACACCAAGGCATGTGTCACAGAATGCAGCCTTTTCCTGCTTCCTCCTTGCACTCCCAGGAGCTGAACTCTGGCTGACAGGGACAGGCCACCCTGGGAGGCACTCCTAGTCCCTGGCTTCTGGCCCCTGCCAGGACAGGATTAGCCCAGGTGGGCCACAAGAGCGCCCTCAAGCTAGCGGTGTCCTCTGTCTCTGCAAGCCGCTGCAGAGACACCCCACACTCACCTTCCTCCCATTCACAAAGAAAACCAGCTCGTCTGATGGTGCTGGGCCTGGCATGGCGCCTGTACACAGGTCTCGCCCTGTGACTCTGGGTGGGATGCCCTGTGCCAGCCGCAGGACTGAGTGGAGAGGATTCACGTCCAAGCAACTGGACCTGTGCAGAGGCTGCCTGGACCCCAACAGAGGAGGTCAGGAGGTGGAGGTTTCCTTGATTTTAAGTCCAGGGCACCTGATGTCCCTGCCTCTGGACGCAAGTCCCTCTCTTCCTCCCACCAATCCTGGCTTGGAGGCTGGCTTGTAGCACAGCCCACAATCAGAGCTCTTTTCTTTTCTTTTTTTTTTTGAGTCTAGTCTCACTCTGTCACTCAGGCTGGAGTGCAGTGGCACGATCACAGTTCACATTGCAGTCTCAACCTCCCGGGGTTAGATGATCCTTCCACCTCAACCTCCCAAGTTGCTGGGACAACAGATGCATGCCACCACACCTAGCTAATTTGGTTTTGATTTTTTTCAAAGATGAGGTTGCCCAGAGATGTTGCCCAGGGTTGTCTTGAACTCCTCGGCCTTTTTAAGTGTTAGATTATAGGTGTGAGCCATTGTGCCCAGCCTAATCGAAGCTTAAACCCACTCCACGCTGGCCCAGTCCCAGCAACAAGTCCTAGATGGACTTCACATTTCTCGAGTCAGTCAGAAGTGGGCTTTCTGAGACTTCCTACTTCTCCCGACTCTTTTTTTATTCCAGTTGCAGAAATGTCCCCCTAAGAAATCCTAAGTCATGTTCAGTCTGCGTCCTCATTAAAGTGGAGTTGTGGGTGCCTTTCTGCTTCTCACTCACCTTGGACCCATTCACTGAAAAACAGTGAGCTAGTCAAGGCAGCCATTTCCCAGATAAGTAATTTCCCAGGGAGTGGAGATGGGTAGCTGAGTCACTCAGAAGTAAGAGCTATAACCGAGGTAGCTCTTATTACCTTGAGTCCGGGAATTCAAGACAAAGTAGGAGCTACAACTGAGGTCTCCTGGCTTGAAACAGGTGGAAAGTGCACAGACAGAATCCTTGATAAAAGAAAAATGCCATGTGTGCTCTTTCTGAATATCTGCAGTTAGTTATCTGTAGATAAGAGCAGGCAGTACTTATTCTGTGGTAGAGTACAGTGGAAAACCAGACCTACAGTTTTAATAACCCACAATTAGACATTTATGATTGTGACAAGCACTGAACAGAGAAAGTAACCTCGTTTTGGGGCCAGGGATCATAAAAGACATCCTCAAGAAAGGGAAGCTTGGGCCTGACAGATGTGTGAGAACTGATTCTGTAAGAATTAGAAATGGACTGTGGGAGGAGGGAGCATGTGGAAACAGGTTCCTCTTAAGGTGGCTTCTGCTTAAGGGAAAAGACACAGGGACTTTTTTTTTTTTTTTTAAAGTTTTCAAACAACGCTTATTAGAGAAAGAAGCGAGAAAAGAAAGAGAGATATGCCAGAGCTGGCATGGGCCCACAGGGACTTTTTAAAGAGTACACTATCTGTTCACCATCTCACTCTTCCTTTTCCTCACAAGGACAACCCATGAACAAGAGCACACGGTCATCGCTTACAGAGGCATGATGGGCCCAACGTCCAAGGAAAGCGTGACTCACAGTTCTTCAAAATATTTACCAGAATAAATCCTTCAATGTCAACATCAAACACAGCCTCTGAAATGAAACCATCTGGGAGTGCCCAAGGTGTATTATGACGTTGGTTATGCAAGATACACAAGTGCTTTGGATTAAGGGGTCAGATACAGTCATTGCTGGGAACCTGAAACCTGACCCTGGATGGCATCAGAGAAGTGATTTTCAAACTTGTCTGAGCTGGAAAAACCTTTGTTTGAATGCAGTCTTGTGAAGTGTAAACAGATTAAACACAGAAGCTGCTCTAGCTGAGGGAACTGGGGCAGAGACCCGAAGTCCTTTGTCTTTCTCTCTCTCTCTCTCTCTCTCAACCCTTGAACTCTGGGGAGCTCACTCCAGAGTGAACACAAGGTTGCCCACAGGATGGGTTGTAGCCTCTGCCAAGTTCTCTTGACTCTCAATTCTTTTATTTTTTTAGAGATAGGGCCTTGCTGTCACCCAGGCCAGAGTGCAGTGGCACCATCACAGCTCACTGCAGCCTCAAACTCCTGGGTTTAAGGGATCCTCCTGCCTTAGCCTCCCAAGTAGCTAGGATATAGGTGCACACCAAATAGCTAAGAAGAATGTGAAAAATGAGAACATCAAGGGAGAACTTACCACAGTACTAATTTTAATACAGTGTTGATATAAGGTTCAACAACTAGATCATCGGAACTAGAAATACACAAAGAAATACACAATTTATGTATTGTGTATTTCTAAGACTCTAAAAGACCTTAAAAATAGATCCCAAAATATGCAGGAATTTAATAAACAACAAAGAGAAGTTGACTTCTTGTATATTCCCTAGCAAGTGAATTAAACAACTGGCCAAAGTTCTAGGTGACCAAAGTTCTTTGACTATAATTTTTGGGGAACATTAGAAATGAAATAACTATGAACACTGCAGTTCACACGTGGGCATTCCTGTGACATTTTGGGATAGATTTATGTTTCCTAATCATGCTGTTTATAGACCCGTCTTCTGTCAACTCAGGGCTCAGGATTTTAGAACTCTGAGAGTGTTCACATGATCCCTTATTTATACGGAGCAAGTCAATTTTTTGGACTAGTACTGATTCCAGACAATGAAACTCAGGGAAGAGATTTTTCTCAGAGGTTTTGTTTGTAATGAATAACAGCACCTACATGCAGTATGTGGATGACAAAATGTAATCAAGTGCATTTTAATAAGTGAAGAAGCACCCAGTGGACTTATGGAATTTCCAGTTGAGGCAAGTGCTGACCTAAAATATTAAAATGTACGTAAATTGGGTATTTCTTTGAATGTAAAATTATTCCTTCCTATAAAGGTAATTCATCCAATGTATAACAAAATGTAATTTGCTACTTATAACTATATACATTTGCATATTCATAAACTCAAAGACTGAGCACAGTGGCTCATGCCCGTAATCCCAGCACTTTGGGAGGTTGAGGTGAGAGGATTGCTTGAGTCCAGGGGTTTGAGACCAACCTGGCTAACATAGTGAGACCTCATTTCTACAAAAATAAAAAAATTAGCTAGGTGTGGTGGTGCACGCCTGTAGTACCAATACTTGAGAGACTGAGGCGGAAGGATTGCTTGAGCCCAGGAGGTCAAGGCTGCAGCGAGCTGTGATCGTGCCACTGCACTCCAGCCTGGGTGACAAAGTGAGACCCTGACTCAAACAAACAAACAAAAAACTCACAAATCAGGAAGAATAACTTTGATAATTCTCTGTGGGAGACAAGGGCATGAGCCACCCAGATCCCTGATGAGGAAGGAATTGTGCCCAGCTGGGAAGTGCGCTTGGCACGTACCAGCTCCTTCAGGGGTTACCTCAGGCAGAGATCCTCCTTCCTCAAGGTCATACCCTTCCCGGGGCAGCCCCATCGGTTACTGAGTGATATGGATGTACATTTCAGTCCAAGCTGGGCAACTCTATGGGGAATGCTCGCTCTTGGGACCCCTCGCTGGCTTTTCCATGCTTCTCGGGGCTGCGCTGCTGTTTGACTCTCCATCTCCCACCCCTGCTTCTTCAGCCATCCTCTCCTGGGTCTTGTTAGAAGTGTCCTGCTCCCCACACTGCCTCAGCCTCTGGAGAACTCAACCTGCCATTCTATGTGTTCTGAGAGTGTGAAGAATGTGGCCAACATCACTGAAAGTGTCAAGTGCAGAGAAAGGAAAGATTTTTCCTTAAAAGAAACAACATCGATCTCTAAGGCCCCTGTTTCTGCCCTCTTTTTTTAAACTATTAAATTTTTTATTTTAAAGATGTGGGATATAATTCAGGGTTAAGTATACAAATGTTCATTATGCAGGTACCCTTGTTGACGAGGTGTGCCCCTCCATCCCCTGGCAGTTTCCCTCAACTGCTAATCCCTCTCCTCCCCTGGCAGTTTCCCACTACTGCCAATCCCTTTCTTATAGTATTATGATACTTGTTCAAGGTCATATGAGTGAGAACATATGTTGGTTGGTTCCATGTTTTTGCTATTGTGAATAGTTCAGCCTTCTTTTTATTTTTTTTTTAGTTGAGGTCTCACTCTGTCACCCAGGGTACATGCACTATGGTGGCATGATCATGGCTCACTGCAGCTTTGACCTCCTGGGATCAGGTGATCCTTCCACCTCAGCCTCCAGAATAGCTGGGACTACAGGTGTGTGCTCCCCCCACCTGTCTTATTTTTATTTTTGTAGAGATGAGGTCTCACTATGTTGCCTAGGCTGGTCTTGAACACCTAGCCTCAAGTGACTCTCTTGTGCTGGCCTCCCAAAATGCTGGGATTACAACCATGAGCCACCATACCTGCAATTTTTAAATTTTTTGTAGAGGCAAGGTCTCACTATGTTGTCCAGGCTGGCCTTGAGCTCCTGGCTTCAAGCTATCCTCCCATCTCGGCCTCCAAAAGTGCTGGGATTATAGGCATGAGCCATCATGCCTGACTGTGTGATTTTATTTTATTTTTTCTTTTTGAGTCAGCGTCTCACTCTGTTGTCCAGACTAGAGTATAGTGGCATGATCATGGCTCACTCCAGCCTTGACCTCCTGAGCTCAGGTGATCCTTTCACCTCAGCCTCCTGAGTAGCTGGGACTACAGGGGTGTACCACTATTCCCAACTAATTTTTAAATTTTTTGTGGAGACGAGGTGTCACTATGTTGTCCAGACCGGTCTCGACCTCCTGGCTTCAAGTGATCCTCCTGCTTCAGCCTCCCAAAATGCTGGGATTACAGGTATGACCCATCATGCTTGGCAGTGTGCTTTTAACACTCAAAGGGTAGTTGATCATTTACTGAGCCCACTGGTTAAAAAGATTTCATCTCATACTTTTAGCACAGTTATTACTGTAATCACATTTTATACTTAGACAACGATAGATGTTTATCTAAGTTAGTAATGTGGATCAAATGCATAATAGAATAGACACTATAAATTGTCGATTTACTGGGATCTAGATTATACTAAAAGTAAAAAAAAAGTCTATTTAATTTTTAAAAGCATTTGGATATTAATCCTATGTTTGAAACCTGCTATCCTTAAAAATATACTATTTTTGTAAACAATCCCATTTCTTTAAGTTAATGAAATACTGATGAAATGATCAGACTTTGTAAAAATGCAGTTTCTGTGATATCAGAGGCCTTGTCCCAGAGCCTATGAAGTAGAACACTTTTGCAATTACTTTGTTTGTGGTAAACGTGTCTCCATTTTATTGCTAGAAAAATATACCACTGGCCAGGTATGGTGGCTCATATCTGTAATCCCAGCACTCTAGGAGGCCAAGATGGGAGCTTGAACCTAGGAGTTTGAGACCAGGCTGGGCAACATGGTGAGATCTTGTCTCTACAAAAAAAAAAAAAGAAAAAAAAAATTAGCCTGGCATGGTGGTACACACCTGTAGTCCCAGCTACTGGAGGCTGAAGATGAAGGACTGCCTGAGCCCAGAATGTTGAGACTGTGGTGAGCTGTGATTGTGCCACTGCATTCCAGTCTGGGCGAAAGAGTGAGACTCAAAAAAAAAAGAGACAGTGAGAGAGAGAGAGAGAGAGAGAGAGAGAGAGAGAGAGAGAGAGAGAGAGAGAGAGAGAGAGAGAGAGAAAGGACTGTTGACTCGATTTTTGTTGTTCTGTCTAGCACAATGAGTGGGTTGGGTTTTAGGCAATCTGGATTATCAGGTGAATCCAAACATGTGCCCATAGCCACATGTACACACACAGACATGCACGTGCTTCTCTGAGAATAAAAGACATTGGTCGGTAAGACTTTTGTTTAAAAAGAGGCCTTTCCTTTTCACCACTGCCTTCTCTTCTTTTAACCTGGTCTCACTCACACATAAACAATTCCTACATACTTATTCTCCCAGTATTATTAAATTACTGTTAATAAACGCAGAGCTTTAATATCTAGTACACAGATCCCCAAGGGTTTATTTATTTGTATTTTACTACAAACTTTTGGAAAAAATTTGTGCTTTTAAACCTCACATGGGACTGCATCTTTTCTGGGATAGGACTGTGTTTCTGCAGGAAAATACAAGGTGAAGCAGCTGAGGAATAACCAGAAAAACAAACCCAAAGATCTTGTGCCCCTTCGATGGCAAAGGGTGGGTGCTGCTGACTTCCAGCCACAAGGTTAAAACAAAGGTCTCAAATGTGACGGTGATCACTATTTTATCCAGCATAAACAACGATTACCCAGCCTCTCAGGTGAGGAAGAAGTTGTACTGTGGACATGGATCATGGTGGATGGGAACCATGGAGGCTCTGGATGGCTACTTCCCAAAGCATCTTCTAAAAGCACCCCAGGTGTGGCAGGAACCCCAGAAGTGGCAGAAACTCCAGAACTGTGATGGGTCCGCAGAGCTGAGACAGCCCTTGCCCACTCAATAGCTGGCTGTGAGCATCTCTTTCCAACTCCGCATTTGGACCTTGTGGCATTGGCTTGAGGTGGGTCAAGGTGTGAGTATTTACACCATGGAAATTGGCAGACATGATAAATCATGGATTTTTCTAGGCAAGTCAATTATTAATAGTAGCACACCATTGGCTTTGGGGGAATCCTATCCTCAGAGTTTTGGGGGTGGATGATTTAACTGAACTTTGAGCAGATTTCTGAAGAACAAAGCACAGGTGATCTCTCTTGAGTTGTTCCAGGTTAATAAAAAATTTTAAAATCATGATGATGTTGAATTTGCAGGATAATGTAAACTAAAATTAGAATTTTTGATTCTAAACTTCATCATTTTTGGGGAAAATTTGCATTCTAAAACATAATCATGTAGCTCAACCTAAACCACAGAGAATAATTAAACAATGCTAAAATGATCTTTGACAATTGGGAGCAAACCTATATTTTGTTCTGGTTTGAGACTTTTAAGGTCAATTATGTATTCTTTCATTTTTTAGAAAAGATAAGGTTAAGACACACGGATGGACCAAGGTGTAAATGTTGAAGGGTCATCTCTGGGAATCTAAAAAAAAAATCCAAAGAAGGAAGGCAGTTGTTAATAAAATGTTATATAAACATATTATAAAGACAAACTGATTTTAAAAAAGACCAAGTCAATGTCTATTTTACTTGTTTCATAATTATACACTTTTCAAACACATTCTAATCCTTGAGTCATAAACCTTTTTGTCCTCATACATTTCTTCTGTTTGGAATAAGAAACATTTTACTCAGAAGCCCTGTTTCCAAGGCATAAAGTACAACCTAATTTTATTTTATTCTTTAATTTTTTTAAATATAGAGTTGTGGGGACAAGTGAGGTTTAACTACATAAATAGGCTGCATGCAGGTGAAGTTGGGGCTTCTAACTGGCCCTCACTCCCCCAGTAGTAGACCAGGTACCCTTTGTGTTGTCATGTGCCCCCCACCCTCCTGCAACCTAATTTTATACTGAAGACTGATTGAGGGCTGCAGTGGGCAGTTCAGTTGAGAAACAAGTTCTGGTGACAGTTCTAAATATATTTTTGGCAGCTGGAGGATGAACTATTCTAGTAATGTGTGGTTACAAAGCATATGAAGGTATGCCCACTGACCTGGTACTTTCATTTAAATTATTTTTATTAATTTGTCTAACAAATACATTCTGTGCAATTGACCAGATCAGATATCTAGTTAATGCAATTTGATTATTGAAGTAACTAAAGTGCCACATCAACTGCATTTTGATACAATGTTTAAAGAAGCAACCCACCATGTCCATTTGCTATCAACACTGGCTCAACTCAGTGTGCATTTCTTTTGGTCTGAAACAATGAAGCCATAATTTGAAGAAGTTCTCCCACTGTGCAGTTGCTTCAAAGCATATCGAAAACAGTATGTGGGGGCAAAATGAAAATTTTGGGTTTCTTTTTTTTTTTGAGTCAAGGTCTTACTCGGTTGTCCAGGCTGGAATGCAGTGGCATGATCACAACTCACTGCAGCCTCTACCTCCTAGGCTCAGGTGATCCTCCCTCCTCAGCCTCCTGAGTAGCTAGGACTACAGGCATGTACCACCATGCCTGGCTAATTTTTTGATTTCTTACAGAAATGAGGTTTTACTATGTTGTCCAGGCTGGTCTTGAACTTTTGGGCTCAAGCATTCCTCCCACCTCAGCCTCCCAAAATGCTGGGATTACAGGCATGAGCCTTCACGGCCAGCAAGGAATTTCACTGGAAAATGTTAACTTGCCCTAGAATTTTGTCATGGTGATCACACCCCTGCCAAGAACCTGAAAGTCCACGTAAGGAGTGATTACAGCAGGGACTTCCTTACCATGTCGGTGAACTGATCCACACACATCATCCTGATCACCTCAGGAGTTGCAGGGCTGCTCAGGATGAAGGTCTTGGCCATTCCCCTCTCCCTGCGGGCAGCAGCCACCGCATCATATATGGCAAAGAACACGGAGGACCCCAGGAGCATTCCAGCCTCGCCCAGTCCCTGAGAGAAGAACAAAAGGCTTTAGAAACTCTCTCTCTCTCTCTCACCCTCGGAGTGGAGTGTTTCTGGATGCCCTCCATGGTGGTTTGTGGGGGTCCTCCTCAGAGAAGCTCTGAAAATGCCCCGTGATCTTGGAAGGGGACTAAAAACTAGTTTTCAGGTAAAGTCCTGAAGACCAAAGCCCTTGGTACCCTCTGGGTATGCCAGTTCTGGCTCCAAATCATTTGTATTTCACTCAACACCCACATGGACAAGCACAATCTTTGCAGCTGAGCTTGGAGCACAGTGAGGTGGGAGCCTCAGTCCACACGTGCACAGCCCCTGTGTGGGTTGATGCTTTGGAAGGAACAGTGTAGTGACACCATGTTTTGAACGATGCACCAATGCTTGCTTGTGCTGATTTTTCTTCTTTCTTCAAGCTAGTCTGCAGTCTGTGTCCAGCCTCTTGGTGGAGGGATGGGACAAAGGCCCCCACGCAGATCAAGGCTTCCCAGGCTTTGGTTGTTAAGGTTCTAGGTTCCCCTGAGGTAAGTAAGGAGAAGTTGGGATGGTGGGAAGAGGTTTCCTCAGAGGTGGGGAGGAGAGCAAAGAGCAGAGAGGCCTGGTGCTTGGAGCAGAACGGGCAGGGAGGTGACTATGCTCCCAGTGGCCTGATTGTGTACCATCGGCCTTTGGAAATGTCCCTGACCAAAGTCTAGTGAAGAAGTGGTGAGACAGACCTTCCTCCCGACCTTGGCTTACTCTAGAAAGCAGGGAAGCTTCTGGATACCTGAGGTCAAGCTGAAACTTGGGGAATATAAATTAGTACAGCCTCTATGGAAATCAGTACAGAGATTTCTCAAAGGACTAAAAGCAGATCTACCATTCAATTCAGCAGTCCCACTCCTGGGTCTCTATCCAGAGGAAGTCATTATACAAAAAAGACACCTACATTTGTATGCTTATTGCAGCACAATTCACAATTGCAAAGATGTGGAATCAACCTAAGTGCTCATCAACTGATCAGTGGATAAAGAAAATGTGGTGTACACACACACACACACACACACACACACACACAGACACACACACACACAAACACACACAGAACATGGAATACTACTCAGTTATAAAAAAGAATGAGGCTGGGTGCAGTGGCTCATGCCTGAAATCCCGGCACTCTGGGAGGCTGAGGCAGGAGGATCACTTGAGCCCAGGAGGTTGAGACCAGGCTGGGCAACACAATAAGACCTTACCTCTACAAAAAATACATTAAAAAAAATTGGCCGAGCATGATACCACAAACCTGTAGTCCCAGCTACTTGGAAGGCTGAGGCAGGAGGATCACTCGAGCCCAGGAGTTTGAGGCTGTGGTGAGCTGTGATCATGCCACTACACTCCAGCCTGGGCAACAGAGTAAGGCCCTGACTTTAAAAAAAAAAAAAAAGCCCATTCTGACTTGGGGAGTGGAGGAGGAGCTGTGTCCGTGAGAAGGAGTCTAGGGACAAGTGGAAGGAGTGCAGCAGGGGGTGCTCTGGGAGGGGCCATGTGCCTGCTGTGTCCATTTGCCTCATGGCCATGTGGCTGGATGATCCGAGGCACTCAGCTCCTCTTGACCTCCTTGTTTGGTTTAGACCGCTTCCTGATCTTGCTCAAGCATGAAGACTGTCCTCAACTTTCTGGTTCCATGGGTGTCACTCCGCTCAGGCAATCTGCTCGCCTCGGCCTCCCAAAACGCTGGGATTACAGGTTGAGCCACCGAGCCCGGCCAAAAAAAAAATTTTTAAATCCTGCTTTCCCACTTATTAAAAAAAGAAAAAAAAAATCTCTGTTGCTTCAACCACCCAGTCTGGGGTGTCCTGTCATGGCAGACCTGCCCGAGGAACACAGAACTCTCGAGTTCTTACCTTGGATGAGTAGATGGCGATAGGATTGCGGGAACGCACCAGAGTGACGTAGAACTCTTCTGGGACCTCGGTGACTGTGGGGATTTTGTAGTCATCTGGACTCCGAGAATAAAGCACACCTTCTGGGGAGTATTTCAGTTCTTCTATGGTGTATAATCCCATGCCTTGGATAAATGCTCCCTCGATCCACAGTCAGAAACACTGCAGTTGTAAGCGCAAAACATAGGTTGGATCCACATTCCATATTCCAGCGTGTGTAAATGGAGCTCTTGCGCCCAGTAAACACTACTGGGGACTCTGCAGAGGACCCTATGGGACTGACACCTGTGGCCTTGCCTGGGTTCGCCCTCAGGAACCCCACACCCAGATAACTGGCATTTGCCAAGTTCCCAGTAATTCTCCAAACCCACCAGACTCGTCCTCACCTATGAACCTCCATAGGCTCACTTTCTCCTGCCTCTCTTCACTTCTTCCTACCTCTACCAGTCTACCTGGCACACTCCTATTCATCTCCATGTCCCCTCTGCTGGATGCCGCCTCCCTGGAGCCCTCTATATCCTCCCCCCATTTTTGGGATGGATTTTTTTTTTTTTTTTTTGGTCAGGCTAGAGTGCAGTGGCACAATCAGAGCTCACTGCAGCCTTGGCCTCCTGGGCTCAGGTGATCCTCCAGCCTCAGCCTCCTGAGTAGCTGGAACTACAGGCATGTGCCACCATTTCCAGCTAATTTAAAAAAAAAAAATTTTTGTAGAGATGGGGTTTTGCTATGTGCTCAGGCTGGTCTTGAACTCCTGGCCTCAAGCTATCCTCCCGCCTCAGTCTTCTAAAGGGTTGGAATTACAGGCATGAGCCACTGTGCCTGGCATCCATGGGTGGATTTAGGACCTGCTTTCTCTAGGCTCACGGCACCTTGGACACACCATCAGGGCGGCTCTGGGAGGGTATCTCCCTTGTCCACCTCTCGCTCTCACCCTCATCATCTTATGAGCTTATTAGAATCTCATAAGCTGTCTTGAATTCTGTTCCCAGCATGGTGCCTAGTACGTAGATTCTCTGTCAATGTCTGTCGAAGTAGATGAAAGAGAAGCTAACATGAAAGAACCGTGAGCTAGAACAAATGGAGCCAGTCCACTGTGGTTGATCATAACACCCAGACTGCTTTACTTCGTGTATAAGTTACTATGGAGAGTTGATCATCGTTAAACAGGGCAGGCTGGAAAAAATAGCTGTATTTATTGAAAGCCATGTTGAGTTCTGTTTATAAACTTTTATGCTCTAGGAAAAAGTTTCCTTTTAAAAGGGGTGTCTGCCTGGAGGTTATAAAAATTGGAGAGTTATAGTCTGCATTTTACTGAAACACAAAATTTAGGAACAAGGTAAGCAAATTTAAATGCTACATTCAGAAATAACTGTGTTTGTTTAGAAAGGAAAATATCAAAGCCCAAGAGATGCAGTTGAACCCACTGCTGGGTTTCTTTCCTCTTCTGATGGGACAAATGCAGGGTTTTCCTGCTCACAACGGTTCCGTTTTGACTTTCACTTAAGAAATAAAGCGGCAGGAATTAGATGGGAGGAGGGGAAAAGAGACAGGGTGGGAGCCAGGGCCTGGGGTTGCTGTAGCTCTCACACCTTGTAGGCTTTAGATAGATTTTGAGCACAGATTCCAAGACCCAGCCTGCAAAGTTACAATGGAGCAGCTCTGGGGCTGAGCCAGGCCTGGGAATCCACATTCCAGCAAGCACTGTTGGTGCTTCCATTGAGCCTCTGAGGATCATGTCTTGAGAAACACTGAGGGACCAGTGAAACTAATCCTTGGAAAGCCAGTGGCCAAGCCAGTGGGGTGAGCCAATCTCTAGGACTAAGGACGGCAACACGCTGTTCACAGATGAAAGCACTATACGTCTGCCAGCATTTGCAGCAAGGCTACTCAATTGTTCCAAATCGCCTCGCAGGTGCCCAGGGCAGACTGGCAGCCTTGGCCTCACCTGGGAGCCCGTGAGCAGGTCTGGGGCTGGTCAGTGTGGCTGGTCTGTAAGCTCTGCTTTGAATAACAAAGTTAGAAAAAAAGCAAGGCTATGTCAACAGCTGGAAGGTTTTAACTCTAAGTTTAAGAGAACATTGGGTGAGTTGATTTTGTTTATTTGTGAGATAAAAATCAGAATTTAATTCAGCAAGGTGGGGGGAATTGTGTTTAAGTATTTGTTTAAAAAATTTCTCTAAACTGGGCAGTCTGTTAAAATTCAATGTTAATATGAACACTAATGTAACTTTATTATTATATACTGATGTAATGTTCTAATTACTAACAGTACTCATTAAAGAAAAACTTGAAAGCATGGAGAATTATAAAGTAGAATAAATTATATATATTCCTGCCATGCAGACAGATCATGGTTAGCTTTTTCTTACATTTTCTTTCAGTACCTATTTATTTTTATTTTTTAAGTTATTTTTCTTTTTCTTTATCAGAGATGGAGATCTCACTATGTTCCCCAGGCTAGTCTCAAGCAATCCTCCTGCCTTGGACTCCCAAATGCTGGGATTATAGGCATGAGCTGCCACATCTGGCCTTTTTCAGTATTTTATCAGTGTTGTGTATGCATGTTTGTGTGCATGAGTAATGTTTTGTATATAATAGGTATTGCAGAATACTTGCACTAGGTATGAACAAGGTTTGGAGGAAAACAGTATTCTGAATGAATAGCTCTACATGGAATTGAGCAAATCTTCTAGGGACGGTTCTGGGATGACACACCTGTCCAACATCCAGGGCTGGGTTTATGCTGAATGCAGCGTCCATGAAGATGTCAGTCCTAAGAAGCTGTGTTGGAAGAAAACATATAAAAGAAAATATTATTTATTTAAAACAAACTTTTACTAAAATGACGTATCTGTGCTGGTCCTTCCATTGGGAGGATTTCCGTACAGTGCAGGAAACATGCAGGTGTGTGTGTTGTGCCCTGAAGGTGTAAATACAAATGTCATCTAGTCATCTACCTTATGTGCCCCGGTCAGGCAGTCGACTTCAACCTCGGAACAGGACACTCCGTACACGTAGTATGGGTAAGCATTGCCCTCCTCCTTCTCCCAGTCCATGTGGGTCTGGTAGCCCCTGAGAGGAGAAATCAGTGGTGGAAAGAAAAGGCATTGTCCCCATGAGTGGCCCATTGCCTGGCTGTGCTGAGTCCCAGAGGTGGACACAGCCGAAGGGCCTTCCTCCCTTGTCCCATGAGGAGACCACATGGTCAGGTCTACAAAGCACCACTGCAGACCTGGGGAGAGGATCAACTGGTGCCAGGCCCCTTCCCTCCAGTGCACAGTTACTGGGATGGACCGGCATGTGTGGATGACCATGACGTCCCTCCTGGCTGGTAAGCAGCAGCTTTCCTGGGGAGGCCCTGGAGTGTTCCCCAGGTCTCCCTCCTCACCTCCCACAGCCTCAGATGAAGGGGTTCACACCCAGCATGGCAGAGCCCCGGGACTACCCAGACATCTGTCCTTGCTGATGTGTGCTCAGCACCCCTGCCAAGTACAATTGAAACCAAAGCAAAAACATCCTTTACTTGAAATATCCAGTGGCTGAGAGACTGATGCCTTCTTCAAAGGCTTTTGCAACCTGAAAGAGATGATGAGTTATGTAGTTAATCCTCACTTGTACCCCACATTCCTATAATAAAATATATAACCATAGGGACAGTAGCGACAGATACCTTCCACACTGGGCTTGCATCCTCTTGTCTGCACTGACCTCTGATCCATATCCCTCCCATGACACCAGCCTGGGTGCCAGTCACAGGTCACGCCTATCATTGGAGGCACCTGAAGGCAGCTGCTTGCTGTGCTCCAGGACCCTCTGTGCTTTGGGGTTGCATAGTGTAAAGCTGATTCCTTTTCACCTTTTCACTTTTTAAATTAGGGGGAGAGAGGGCTGACTCTATGTCTACACTTATGTACACAGGTTTGTATATATATTTTCATCCTGCTTTGTTCCCAGATAATTTGGTTGTCTCAATATATGATGATGTCAGACTTTTTTTTAAACTGGGCAGGGGTAGGAAATGATACTAAAATGATAATAAAAATGGTAATAATAATAATTTTTATTAAACATTGGTAATCCATTGATCTTAGGACCACTATTGTCTCCATGATGAAGGTGAGAAAATCAATGCCCTGAGGCTATGAACTGAATGTTTGTGTCACCTCAAAATTCATGTGTTGGAACTCCAACCCCCATAAGCCGGGTGTAGTGGTTCACACCTGAAATCTCAGCACTTTGGGAGGCAGAAGCGGGTGGATTGCTTGAGTCCAGGAGTGTGAGATCAGCCTGGGCAACATAGCAAGACTTCCCCTCTACAAAGAATTTAAAAATTATCCACATGTGGTGGCGCTTGCCTGTAGTCTTAGTTACTCAGGAGGCTGAGGTGAAAGGATTGTCTGAGCCTAAAAAATGGCATCAATGTCCTCATCAAAGAGGCTCCAGAAAGCTGCTTAACCCTTTTAGTCCATGAGGACACAGTGAGGACATCTGTGAACCAGGAAATGGACTCTCACTGGATACTAAATCTGCTGGTGCCTTAACCTCAGACTTGCAGTCAGAACTGTGGGACATGAATCTCTATTGCTGACAACCCACCCAGTCTATGGTACAGTGTCAGACTCAGTGAGAAATCAGGTTCTGAAATAAAGCCAGGTTTCAGTGAACATGAACATCTCTCCTACTCTTTTGGAAAAGGAGAAGGAAAAAAAAAAAGGAAATGCTGGTGAATATTTTATTTCTCTCTCTCTCTTTTTTTTTTGAGTTACAGTCACTCTCTCACCTAGGCTGGAGTGTAGTGACACACTCATAGCTACTGCAGCCTCAACCTCCTGGGCTCAGGTGATCCTTTCATCTCAACCTCTCACCAAGTTGCCCAGGTTGGTCTCGAACCCTTGGGTTCAGGCAATCCTCTTGCCTTGGGCTCCCAAAGTGCTGAAATTACTGGTGTGAGCCACCGCACCCAACAATGTTTTGTTTTTCAAGTGTCACCCATTATCTCGCACGTCTAAGACTGTTTCCCATGGGATGCAGCTGCCTTTCTCGGCAGGGATAAAGAGGGACACTCACCCACTCCTCCCATGTTGCTTCAGGGTTTTTTCTGATGATGGGATGCAGACGGGCCATGAGAATCTGGCAGGCATTCTAACAATGAGTATTTGAAATGATTTCAGAAAGAAAGCGCAAGAACAGCAGATGTTAACTATTTAAATCAACTCAATACAGACCATCAGTGTTGGAATCCCGTTTCTCAGTTGGGATTCTTAAACTTGCGCAATGGATTCCCTTCAAAGAAAAAGTATTCTTTGTATCCTACAGTGTTGATTTACAATTATCTTTTTTTTTTTTTTTTTTGAGTTGGAGTCTCACTCTTTCTTGTCATCCAGGCTGGAGTGCAGTGGCATGCTCACGGACACCACAGCCTTGACCTGCTGGGCTTAGGTGATCCTTCTGCCTCAGCCTTCCAAGTAGTTGGAACTACAGGCACACACCACCATTCCTGGCTAGTTTTTTTTTTGTGATTTATTGTAGAGATGAAGTCTCACCAAGTTATCTAGGCTGCTCTCAAATCTCTGGGCTCAGGTAATCCCCTCACTTCTGCCTCCCAAAGTGCTGGGATTACAGGCTGAGCTATGGTGGCCAGCCGACTTACAATTATCTTTATAATGTTTAAATATATGCTAATGTAAAGCTAGGTAGAGACTGGGCATGGTGGCTTATTCCAGCACTTTGGGAGGCCAAGGTGGGAGGATCACTTGAGGCCAGGAGCTCAAGACCAGCCTGGGCAACTTAATGAGACACTGTCTCTATAAATTAAAAATGAGCTTGGTGTGGTGGCATGTGCCTGTAGTCTCACCTACACAGGAGACTGAGGCAAGAGGATTGCCTGAGTACAAGAACTTGAGGTTGCAGTAAGCCAATATTGTGCCACTGCACTCCAGCCTGAGCGACTGAGCCAGAACCCATCTTGGGGGTGGGGGGGGAGTTAGGCAGAGTCTCTTTAGGGTTATAACTCTAAAAGAAAAACAAAATGACAGAGTATGCCTACCCATCTATATGCCAATAAAACTCAAAATAACAACATTAATTTAGTTGACTGATGATGTTGCTTTCTGAAGCTAAATTGCTGCTTGGAGTGTGGAAAAGACATTGACCACCCAGGCACACAAGCTTTTGATTCCAACATATTTACTGGGTGCTAGCTGATGGGTTGGGTTTCTCCCCACTCTTATTTACGTTGCCACTAGATTTTTCACTTTCATTTTATACCTTGCCATTATCAGCTCTTCACCAGGCAAAAAGTCATCATTTACTGTTTTATATCTGAAGCTCATCTCTGCTCTCCTCTTGTTACTTTGACACAAAGTGTTCTCTTGGTCCCAAATGTGGTCAAAGAGATATCATGGCAACTCTCCAGATAGAAAGCAGTCATTCTGATACTCCAAAATTGTCAAATGATCCAATAGTACTTAGTTTAATTTAAAAAAAATTATTATTATTATTTTGAGTCAGGGTCTCACTCTGTCACCCAGGCTGGAGTGCAGTGGCACAATCATGGCTCCCAGCAGCTTCAACTTCCTGGGCTCAGGATCCTTCCACCTCAGCCTCCCAAGTAGCTGGAACTACAGGTGCACGCCACCCTGCCCAGCTAATTTTTTACGTTTTTTGTAGTGATAAAATCTTGCTATGTTGCCCAGGCTGGTCTTAAACTGCTGGCCTCAAGCAATCCTCCCTCCTCGGTCGCCCAAAATTCTGGGATTACAAGCATGAGCCCACCATGCCCGGCCTGTTATTTATGAATGCATATTAAGGAACTTTTTCAAACTCATTTAAGGCTGAGGACCTGAAAGAACAAGACCTCCACAACAGGTGACAAAGAGTCCCTTAGTCCAAATTGTGGTGCTCTGCTGGCTGAACCAACTTGCAGAAGAGGTGGTCACAAACGACTCCTCATGCGCCGTGATGGACTAAGAAAACTGGAGTTGAAGAGGCCGAAAGATTGGCCTCAGGGAGAGGGTCTCATGGGAGAAGGTTGCCAGGGCCCTCGGAGCCCCATTCTCTCAAATCTAGGGAAGGGTGGTTCAAAGCCACTCTGAGAGCACGACATGCACCCCCTGGAGTTTAGAGGCCCTGCAGATTGGTGTCTACTTCAGAAGGCAGGTCTACAGGTAAAGGGTGGTGCGCAGCCTGGGGCAGCAGGGGGCAGTAGAGGGCCATGCGGGGCAGGCACCACACGCCTGGGGTGGCCGAGGGCAGCAGAGAGCCACGCGAGCAGACTTTGAGGGCACATGTTCCTGGAAGCAACCGGGGGTGCGGGTGCTGGCTACGGTGAGTTTTTCTACTAATTTATCACAGGTTCTTCATTTCCATTCCATAGCAAGATGAGGACAGTAAAACCAAAATAAAATTAATTTTCCCCACTGGCTGCATTCTTTGCTTTGTGGTGTGTAACACTCAGTCCCTATTTCTGGAAACCTAAGAATGCAAACGCTTACTGATTTTTCTGCTCCATCTATTCCTTTTCATTTAAAAGTATTCAGGATTTTTTGACAAGTCATTTCTCCTCTATAGCCACATGCCAGACTTTCCTCCTATATAAAAGGCTTGGGATTTTAAAAGAATTCCGGGGTTCTGAAATGAACAATTTCAGCTTCCTCAGCCTCACCCAGTAGCTGATGGTCTGGTCACACCAAGGCCGGAGCCATCGGCCTCTTGGTGGCCAACGGAACTTCAGCTTTTGCTGTTTCCTTGAAAATCTGATGCAATTGTTGACTGGAATCTAGACCTTGGGAAGCCGTGGGTCTTGTGAGCCTTGAAAGCTCACCATAATCAATCCACCAAGGAAGCCCACTGAGGAGCTGCAGACGGTCTGAAGGGCAATCAAATGACTGACAGTCACCCTTTCCTTCCAGGGTACACTCTCTGAATCTGCTGGACACGTTTTTGCCCAAGTCAGACGCTGGAGGCTGCTATCTAGAAAGGCAACTGCTCCCTTTACATTTTCCTAGATTTTCATTTTAAGCTTTTATTTTTTGTTGAGATGGGGTCTCGCTATGTGGCCCAGGCTGGTCTTGAACTCCTGGCCTCAAGCTATCCTCCCACCTCAACCTCCCAGAGTGCTGGGATTACAGGCATGAGCCATCACGCTCAGCCATCAATGGACTTTTGATATCTTAGCGTACTTAGAGGATTACAGGTCAGTTTTATTCAGAGGGAGGGAAGAAGAAGCCCACAGAGGGAACTTGAACCTCCCCTGAACATGGGATAAAGAACAACGCTGTCTCCTGCGGCATGTCCTGGAGCTCAGTCTTTCAAGTAACAGTTTCATGTACTGAGTCACTGCCAGCCTGAACCTGTGCTCAGAGCAGGCTCTTTGAATTTTGTCCTGTTTTGTTTATTGCTATACCCCTGTTACTCAGGACAGGACTGGCCCAGGGAAGCCTCAGGAGATGTTTGTTAAGTAACTGTTGAATCAGTAAGAGAAGTGTGAAGTCACACACATGTATGACTATTCGTGTCATTCTTTATTGAAAGAAATAAAAAATATAAAAATCTTTCCAAAAATATTTTGTTTCCTCTTTTTTTTTTTTTTGAGTCCTTGCCTTATCGATGTCCAAGATGGTGTCTAGCTGTGTACTGGGTCTCTTTGCAACCTGTACTGGCAAGGCAATCACGTGAGTGAAAGATGAAAAATGAACTCAGTCATCTAGACGTTTTATCAAAGTTAGAATTTCTCAGAGTATTTTTCAACTGACCCAAGCCCTGTGTGGAACCAAGATGGAGTGACCCTGCCTTGCTCTTGTGTGCTGGGATAAGAGGAGGCAGATGCTTTTATCCAAGACAGAGGGAGGTTGCTGAATGCATAGGCCTTCACAGGTAATGGAGCATTAACTATGAAAACAGCCCCATGCCCAGAAAGAGCACCAAATGGGTAGCCTTGGAAAACTTGACCTAGAACCTCGGCACTGCCATGAATTCGTTGAATGACCTAGAACTTGACCTCTTTTGGCCTCAGATTCTTCTTCCATAAAAGAAGGGGTGGGACGATGTCCTTTTCCGCACTGTCCCTGGGGGCCTGGAAGATGAAAGAAACATCACCTGCACGGCCTTCCCGTTGATGTCCGCCCCCATGGACCCCGCTGTGAAGACAGCATTGGGCACTGTAACTGTGCTTGTTTCGGACTGGTGGATGTACGACGCAGGTATGCCAAGTTCCCGACTGGCTACCTGCCGGAAGTGAAAAACAAAGGTGCTTTAGCTTATGGACTTTGAGCCCCACCCCACGTTCAAAACCTTTATGTTCCTTTTAGAACTAAGTGTAAAGCCTGGTTGTTCTCCTAGAGAGACGAACATTGGAGCTGGCATGATGGCCTATGCGTAGATGGATGCGTTTGAAGGTTTTAGAGGCACAGTTAAAGAAATACTCCTTCAGAAACACATGGCCAACCCAGGATGCCTTTTGTGCTTTCTTACAAAAAAAAGTTTTATCACTGACCCACTGTAATTGTACATATTTATACAATCCTACTACTAGGGATCTACCCAAAGGAACAGAGATCAATATATAAAAAAGATATCTGTAATCATATGTTCATTGCAGCCCTAGTCACAATAGCAAAATCATGGAACCAACCTAAGTGCCCACCAACAATTGGCTGGATAAAGAAAATGTGGCAGATAATCACCATGGAATACTACACAGCCATAAAAAAAGAATGGAATCATGTTCTCTGCAGCAACATTTGTGGAGGTAGAGATCACCAGCTTAAGTTAACTGACTCAGAAACAGAAAGCAAAACTCTGCATGTTTTCACTCATATGTGGAAGCTAAGTGGTCACAAAGATGGAAATAACAGACACTGGAGACACCAATAGAAGAGAGGTAGGGAGGGGGGTTATGGTTCAGAAATTACCTATGGGGTACAATATTTACTATCTGGGGAATGGGCCACCTGAGATCCAATTCCCACCACTACACAATATGTCCATGTTGTACATGAACAGGCAAGTGTACCCCTGAATCTCAAATAAAGGTAAAAAAATCACTGACTCATCATACTTGTACATATTTATGTGGTACAATTTGATGTTTCGATCCACACAGGTGTTGTATCATGACCAAATCAGGGCATTTGTTGTATCCATGACTTCATGCACTTTCATACTGGCATCATGGAAACTGTGCTGTGGCAGGGTGGCCTTGCTGGGCATGGAGCTTAGTGGGACAGGTGTAGGCAGATCGAGGCCCTGGTCTTCCTCTATCACCTTCATCTTTCCCTCATAATTTACAGACAATTTAACAGATTATGTTTCCTTCTGGAGACATCTTGTAGGCATAAAAATTTTGTTGTGAAGAGGCAAGGTATGTTCACAGAAGGCCCTGTGGATTTCTGTGATTTATTAACTCCAAGCACACAATTTGATAACATTCTTTCCTTAAAGAAAGTATCTTTTATCTCTTATTGTGAGAGAAGCTTCCTTTTCCACACACATTTTTAATACAAATGTCTTATTTAATGAATTCTTATTTCATATTAAACAATGGAAATTTTCCTATTGTGATAATCTCTTGCCCTTAAAATAATATTAGAAACACTCTTTTGAATTAGCACAATAGTCAGTCATGTGAAATTCCTAAGTAGATTGCAAATTCTAAGAGCATAATTTTTCATCCTATTTCACGCATTCATTTCTAACTGAGGATTTGAATGAATGCAGTGTTGCTTTGAGCATTTACCATAAAGCTCATTTTTAGATAAAGTACTTTATCTTTGAAATCTGAGTCACATTTTTCTGAAGACCTGTGGATGTGATTCTTTTGTGTACAGGAGAAATCATGGAACATATCTCCTCAATGCTAACACCCCTGTTTCCCAGACCCCTGTATTTTTGTGTTTCTGGAGTCAGGCTGGATCTTACAATGAACTTGTGCATTTACTGTGATAGAAATTCTTCTACTTAAGGTAAGAGTTGTTAAGTAGAATGTAATGTGCCCAACTCTTCCACTCTGGGGAAGACGGACACTTATCTCACCTGAATCATCTTGGTGTACAGACCTTGTCCCAGCTCACACCCACCATGGGTTACTAAGACAGAGCCATCCAGGTAGATGTGGACAAGAGCGGCCGCCTGGAGGAAACAATTGTAGGACCCGTTTGGAAACTGTGCAGCTGGACATTGTGAGTGTGCTGCTGAGGTTGCTTCACGGAGTCAGTCTCTCCATTTTTATTCTGGAGAAGGAAGCTGTTCTTGGTGGCTCCTGACAACCTCTTGAAAGAAACCCCAGACCCATCGATGTGGATGGATGCATGCGTTCCCCTCCCTCAGTCAACATTCTGCCTCCTGGGGACCCTGGGTGTTGCTGTGGGAACTACCTTGCCAAAGTCCCCAGCTGTTGATGTTTTGTCATTCTCCGCCCACCCCCCGCCCGCCCCCATGGGAAGATCAGTTTTAAAGCACATGGAACCTGCCTGAGTACATTTCCAGGCATGGGGCCTTCTGGATACTAGAGTGACTGGAAGAACCTTGAGACACATTCTTGGTTACCAAATGCTGATCTTGTTGAATCATGGTGGGAGAGGGTGTGGGCCTCCTGAAAATTCCAACTCAGCAGCAGGTTGGAGCCGGATTCCAAACATCCATTTTTTGAAGCTCCCAGGTGATTTTGAGGACTGACTAGGTTTGGGATCTTCTGACTGAGTCCAAATTCATTACTTTGCCCATGGCAGGAGAGAGGCCTAGAGTGGGGGAGACTTGGCTGAAGCCAGCCATCTAGTTTGTAGAAAAGTCAGGACTGGAACCCATGACTCCTGATTCAAGACCAGTGCTCTCGGCAACCATGCCATGCTGCCTTTTGAACAAGTTGCTGTTGCCCATCTCTGGGACTGTTGTTCTTCTAATGGAAGAACCCACATCATGTATACATAGCTCCAGGGATCAGCCCCCAGGAGGGAGGAGGTTGGCAACATTGGTGGCTCTGTAAGTTGCTAAAATTTTTCTTTAGGAAATCCTCATCATGGCCAGGCGTGGTGGCTCATGCCTGTAATCCCAGGTCAAGGTGGGCAGATTACTTGAGGTCAGGAGTTTGAGACCAGTCTGGGCAACATAGTGAGACCTCGTCTGTAAAAAAATAATTAAAAAATGAGCCAGGTGTGGTGGCGTGTGCCTGTAGTTTCAGATACTGAGGATGCTGAGGTGGAAGGATCTCTTGAGCTCAGGAGGTCAAGGTTGCTGTGAGCAGTGATTGTCATGATTATGCCACTGCTTCCAGCCTGGGTTACAGAGTGAGACCCCGACTCAAAAAAAGAAAAAGAAAAGAAAATCTCCATTACATGCTCATGCATGTGACCATCTGCCCTCTGGGGCTCCAACTTCTGTGTTAATGCCCGTGCCTCTGTTGCCCAGTGTTCAAATCTAACTTGCTCATCTTTTCACTGACACTGTTCGTCAACCATGAGGTCCTATGTAGGAACTTTTGCACGTAGTATTTCACCTCTGTGACCATCCATCAAGAATAGTTGATGACCATGTACCAATTAGCATGGCCACATGGTGCTTTCAGATTTCATGGGAGGTTTGATGGTGATGACTATATAAGTACACGTAGGATTTTTTAAATTGATGGAGCACACTAGAGACAAGAGAGGGGTTGGTAAGTCATCACATCGTCTGTAGACATTTAAGACTAAAGCCTTCATGATGACCTGAACAGCAGCAGCCAGAATCACCATCACTTTGGGAGAGGATTTAGGTTAAGAGAGGCAACATTACTCATCACATTCAATCAATGATACTGTTTTTTTTTCCTTTTTCTTTTTTAACAGGGTCTCACTTTGCCCCTCAGGCCTCAACCTCCTGGAATCAAGTGATCCTCTTGCTTCAGCCTCCCTGGTATGCACCACCACGCCCAACTAATTTTTTTGATTTTTTTTTTTTTTCAGAGATGGGGTCTCACTTTGTTTCCCAGACTGGTCTGAAACTCCTGGGCTCAAGCAATTCTCTCACCTCAGCCTCCTAAAATGCCAGGATTGTAGGCATGAAACACCAAGCCCATCCTCCCTATAGTATTATTTATTTATTTATTGAGTTGGAGTCTCACTCTGTTGCCCAGACTGGAGTGCAGTGGCTGCTCCTGGCCACCACAGCCTCGA